ACTTTAGTTCTTTGATTGTTCGGCGATTGCGGGGTTGGTTGGAAAAACTCATTTCATCAACGTGAAGCCACTTTAACCCCAAACATTGCACGCCCTGTTGGAAACCAAACATACTTTCTCAGTTCGCTTGCTTTCGAATCGAGTTCGAACCCAATTCAAGTTAATTTGATTCGATTGCTACATACGGTGGGTCGGGTGGTTGATAAAAAGCTCTTTTTCAGCACCAGTAACGGAAAACATTTCTAGCAAAACGACTTGCAAGTCTCCACGAAAGGAAACCATTTACGATTTATGGGAGTATTCTAAGACATTTGTTTGCAAAAAGGTGTAAAAGACTTGAGAATAAAAACCGGAGAATGCATCCTTTATTCGCACTAAGATCGAGCTAAGAACAGCAGCCAAAAATCTTAAGATCTTCTATCTAGGAAGGGCTAGATAAACGTCTAGTTAGGTATATGAAAAAAAAAAAAAACTCAGCAGAAGGAATTTTAAATAATTAGCAGACTGTTTATTTTTCGGGAAAACCGCGAGGGGCAGAGGTAGCCAATAAGATTTGTTCGCAGAGATGGCGGGAAATCCGGGAATTCTTCACACCCCACACCCAGCTCAGGGTAATATGAGCCCTGACTTTCCGCTACATAAAGGGCCACAGTATATCACTTCATACTGTCGCGAGTTTAATTTTGCGAAGGTTGTTCTGTGATTGACGGCCGATTGCAAAATGAACAAGCTCGCTATTGCCCTTTTTCATGCGCTTTTAGTTTTCTTTTTCTCTCCGAAGTCCAGCGATGGACAAGGATTGAGACCTCAACCGATAAATATCGCTCAAGGGAAGAAAATCGAAGCAACTGCAACATGTGGGGAAGATGTCAGCGAGCCAGAACTCTTCTGCAAACTGGCCACTGTACCCGGGAAGCTGGGCATTCTAGGGTTGTCCTGCGATCACTGCGAACCAGATACGTTTACCAAGGATCACTCGATCAAAAATGCCATCGATGGAACGGAGAGATGGTGGCAATCTCCTCCGCTGTCCCGCGGCCTACAGTACCAAAAAGTAAACATCACGATTGATCTAGGACAGGTACTATTTCTCCGTATACATGATTCACGCGTAGTTTCTTTGTCCTTGGTGTTGCTGTTTCGTCAAATGCCTATCGCTGTACTGCAATGTGATTGTTCGGAGAGATCAGTCAAGGGGTTTCGCCACTATCGAGCACACTGTGATTTGTTGTTAGTATTGAAAATTATGAGCCTAACTAGTGTAAGAAGAAGCTTTACTGTGGTTTGGAAAGTTCGTTCAGCAAACCAGCTGGAATTTCAGTCCATTGTGACACGTGTGAGGGGAACATTTTTCGCACCGAGGAATCAAGAAACCGAGCTTACAGAAATCTCACTTATGTGTGATACAAATTGAGTATGCATCATGTAATATTCTGCACTTATTCACACTTCAATTCCCATACATTGTAAATCATAAATCACGCTGCGTCTGTTTTATTTCTTGTACGCATCTCTCGAGGAAATTTAAGATTTTAATTGAAAACCTTATGTTCAACTTGCATCGATCAAGGTCCAGAAAAACGAAGGATGTAAAAAAGTAACCAACAAATCCTAACATTTGAATTCTTTCATTAGGTTTCGGGCATTTAAAAACCGTACTTTGTCTTATTTGAGATATTCTACCTTTGGATTGAACAATTGGGTAAAATAAAATGGGAATTTTCCCCTATTTGTGCCTAAAGACAGGAATGTTGAGACTGCCAGGAATGTACGTTTGGTTTTCCAGTGTCTACTCTCTTTGGGAGGTTTCTTAAAGCTTTCCTGTTGGGATTTTAATTTTAATTTGACAAGGTGCCTCTTTTCTGTATCATTTGTGTAACACGCCTTGAAGATGCGTCTTGGAAAACCAAGTTGTCATTTAACATTTATCTGCTATGATATAGACTTCTTTCTGTAGTAACAGCTCCAGAGATTTGAGAAATCTAAGCAAAATGATGAATAATCAAAGTTTTGATGAGAAAGGAGTCTTTGATAGGGTTGTAGATGGTAAAATAAGTATTTTTTTTAACGGCTAAACTAAGATTATATATTAAGCTTAACCTGTTTTCTCATGTAGGAATACCAAGTAGCCTATGTTATAGTAAAAGCTGGCAATGCTCCACGCCCAGGTACATGGGCCTTAGAGAAATCTGTTGATGGTGGAAGAACATTCACCCCATGGCAGTACTTTGCTACTACTAACAGTGATTGTCTGTCGTACTTTGGAAGCTCAGCACTGTTGCAGTCATTTAAAGATGATACCACGGTCACTTGTACAACAAGCTACTCTCAGGTTCCACCTTTTGAAAACGGGGAGGTGAGTGTCGTGAGATTTTTTAATTGTCTGATTAGCTGTATTGGATAGAAATGACTATCTTTTTTCTCCAAAACCACAGATTTATTTAGCTCTATGTGTTATGGGAAAATCAAGATGTTTCCTTAAATGTAATCAAACCTCTGTAATTGGACACACAAGCACACCAAACTCACAATTTATATATCTTTGAAAAATTATAATTATATAAGTTTGAAACACTAGAAACTTGTTGCTATGTAATTTTCAAAAATAATCTGGTATAGCTTCTCACCTTAGTTAATTAAAATTAAATTCATGCAAATCTCTTCACATTTCAGATCCATATTTCATTAATTAATGGAAGGCCAGGAGCAGCAAACTTTTCTTACAGTCAGGCATTACAGGTAAATGTTGTCTCCATTTGGCAAGCAAGATTGGTCAGTATCAATCAACAGGACTTACAATATTCTGTTTAATTCATTTTGGGGCAATTTCATGATAACTTAATAGTGATTTTCTAAGTTCTTCTACTCATGTTAACAAACTGAACATGTAAAGAATGCAACTTAGTATGTGAATGGCTTTTTATTGAAAGGTCATGTTATTGTTTTCCCTAGTATACAAAATTGTTGCTTGTTTCTTTTAGGAATCTGCTGAGAGATCTTTGGAAATATAAGGAAGCAGTAAAAACCAATTTTAAAAGACCTTAACTATTGATAATGCATTCCAGGCACTAAGAGTAGAATCAGCCAAGCTTAAGATGTAAATAAACATTTTTCCCTTGCAGGGCATCAATAAGCATGGAAACCAATTCTTTTCTTTATTTACATCTAAAAGAGTGAAACATTTTATTACAGGAGTGGACTCGTGCTACTCACATAAGACTCAGGCTGTTAAAAGTGAAGACTTTGTTAGCTGATCTGTTACCACTGGCAAGGAAAGATCCATCAGTTACTAGAAGGGTTTGTAGTAATGCTGTCTCATGTATTCAAATTCACTACCTTTCTATTTTAATTAATATTCCCTCAAAAGATAGGTTTTGTTAATTTTATCAATGAGTTCTTATTCATTAAGTACTTCAGTGAAAGAAGAAAAATTTGGATACATACACTTTGAAATCATCTTAACTTCTTAAATCCCAGAAAATCAGATGTAATTCTCCTTACTGCCTGCTATACATTCCTTATTGTTTTGGTTTGGAGAATTTGGTATTGGATGAAGTAGTTATCGTCTAATTGATATTCACCTTAAGTTCATTTGTTTTGTTTGCAGTATTTCTACTCAATAAAGGATATTTCAGTTGGGGGAATTTGTATGTGTAATGGCCATGCTGATGAATGTATTCAAACTGCAGAAGACTCACAGTTCAGATGCAAATGTAAACACCAGACATGTGGCATCAAATGTGAAGAATGCTGTCTAGGATTTGTGCAGAAGAAATGGAGACCTGGAACTGCAGAAAGTAGCAATGAGTGTGAAGGTGATTAAAGAGTTTTATGTGTTTAGTTCATACTCAGGTAATGTGGCTAAGGGCCCTTGGCTTGTAATCTGGCAGTCCCACATTCAAGTCTTCAACCCTGCTACTCACTGGATTTGTTGCTGGTTTCTCTGAGTTCAATGTCTTGGCAGTGTTTTGTAAATCATGTTTTCTATCATTACCAACCTTTTCCAATTAGCCACTCACCCATTTGATAGATTTTAAGTTGAACTATGTGGTGTTCAGGCTGTGTATAAACTGTGCCTATTTTTTAATCCCTAATTTTTGCCTGATGGGTATGTACAGTGTATATTTTTGTTGAGTTTGTGAAAAAGCTCAGGGTGTGGTGTTCAGACCAGTGTTATAGTGATGTGTTCTTATTTTTATCAAGTTTATTTGTTGTACTTTCCTAGCCTGTAACTGCCACAACCATGCATCTGACTGTTATTATAGTGAGGAAATAGATCAGCAAAAGGGAAGTTTGGATATGAATGGGAACTATGAGGGTGGAGGAGTGTGCATCAACTGTCAGGATAACACGGCTGGAATTAACTGCGAACAATGTAAAGCAGGATACTATCGACCAGTAGATAAGGCTAAGACAGATCGTGATGCTTGTAAAGGTATGGCTGTAAACTATTATAAGACTGATGTGCTATAAAATGCTACCAGAATACCCACCTTTAATTAGATCATAGCCCTAACCTATAGTTTTTTTTTTTCACTTCCAACTTGTCATGCAAGAAAGACCAATGATGCAGAGCTTGGCATGTAGATCACACGGTGACGTCACATACTGGGTGATTGTAGCCAGATTTGACGCAATTCTTGACTAATCAGAGCACAGGATTCCATCTTACCTGTATATCATAACTGACACTCAAACTATCAGTTTTTCAGATAGTGGCATTAACTGCACATTTTTTTGTACATTACAGCTTGTACATGCGACAGAAGGTTTTCCACTGGTCAATGTTTTGATGGTGATGGGCGGTGCCAGTGTCTTGATAACTACAGTGGACCTAATTGTACTCAGTGTAATGAGGGATTTTATGGATTCCCCAATTGCAAACGTGAGTTAAATTTTGGTTTGTGCTTTGTTTATGAAGGACTTTAGAAGTCAAGGATTAATTTTACAAAATGCTTACACTGTGTTTTAGCCCTGCTAAAATTGAGGTTTGACTTGCGGCAACACATGAGGCTGTCTTTCACCCTCAAAAATCCCATGTTAAATATTATGGCATGGTAGATATTGGTTCAGGACTTACTCATTTGTTTTTTAGTTCTTATTGATAACTTAGTTGGAATAAACATGAAAGTTCCATGTCAGAAATATTGTTATTTATCATCAGCTTGTGACTGCCATCCATTGGGTACAAGTGGACGTGTGTGTGGCCCAACAGGTGATCAGTGTCCATGTAAACCAAACTACACAGGAGCTAAATGTGATCAGTGTGCTCAAGGCTATTATGGCTTCCCAAACTGCAGCCGTGAGTACTCATATTAAGAAGAGAGGTTAATTGCAAGGCCACATTTTGAATTTCTTGATTGATTAATACATAGCTTTTCTTATGCAATTGGCTGAAGAATATTCTCCATGCCTGAATAAACAGTAGCTCAGGTGAACAAACTTTAGCTGGGGAGTTCTGTAGAATTATCTAATCTTTACCCAGTTATCACAGTGTTACCACATAATGTATTACTTCATTTGAAATAGCATGTGTAAATATTTTCAAAAAAATTTCCACCACTCTTATTACTGCAGCATGGTACACAGATTCTGTGTGACCTCTTTCATTGAATGTTTTACAAACTTACTGGAAAGGCATTCTTAAGAAGATTCAGAATACTAAGTATTGTTAATTTTTCTTCTCTTAAATGAATGTTTTTTTTGACTGTGTTAAATTTCAACAATCCGCTTATGAATTTGTTATATTATCATTCCTATGTGTTGTTTTGTTTCAGGATGCAACTGTGATGGGTTAGGGTCACATTCAAGCGACTGTGATATCAGAGATGGACAGTGCAGATGTCGTCAAATGTATACATCCAGACAGTGTAATCAGTGCAGTAAGGGCTTCTACAGCTTTCCTGAATGCAAAGGTAAGACATATTAAACAACTGCTAGCCAGGGTATTTTAACTTTTTAACCCCCAAGATACACATTTTATTGTAAATTAGTAAGGAGGGTTTGGTGATAGAACAAGATCACAACTTCTACCTCATGACTTTGAGTGTTCTCAATGCTTGTTTGCTGTATATGTATGGATATTAAAGCAAGAAGTTACAGGTTAATCACTTATGGAGCAAAAAGGTTTAACTTTACTTCCTCAGTATTGCTTTTTGTTTTGGCTTGTAGAACAGTCTAATAATCCATATGATTACAATCTAGATTACATTTGATAGTGTCTCTCTATATAGAGGTTACAGATGATATCAAATGTGGTGTTGACAAAAAGGTGGTTCATTAGAGTGAGGAGGTGTGTTTCTGATGACTTTACCACATTTTTGCATCTACTCTGATCTAATTCAGAACAGACACACCACCATGGAATTAACTTCTTCTATTTACCTAACAGTAAATATAGACTGTATTTAGCATATTCATTTTATTGGGGACTTATGGATGCTTACATTTGTCAAATCTGTATTATTTCTTGCCCTAGTTTGTGACTGTGATGCTGAGGGTACTGCCAGAGATATCTGTAATCCCAACACTGGAGCTTGTATTTGTATGGAGAACTATGCAGGCCCTCGCTGTGATGTTTGTAATGAAGGATACTACAATTTTCCAAGGTGTTCAGGTAACTTCAACACATGCATTGTTATATACTGCAAGTTAACATGGAAGAACTAAATAACTAAATTTATGGATCCGGTTTAAGTACAAGTATCTATTTAAAACCAGACTTGTGGGAATATGAAATAAAAACCTCATCAAGACACAATGAATGAAATGACCAAAGAACTATACAATGTAACACTAAGGTGTAAGTAATAATGACACCAACAACATCAAAAATACCCACATCAACAACATTTGATCTAGTGATGATGATAATAGTAGTGATTATATCTTGTATTTAGAGCCATATCTCTGTTGATGCAAAGACACTAAACACAAGACTGGTGCCAAAAAAGCTTATGTAGTACAATTAAAGTCCTCACAACTTTTGTCTTTCCCCAAATTTCTTGACTTCCTTTCTTCATGTTGGATAGATTTTCAAACTTCAATTTAATTTTTAGAGCACAGGAGTTACAAGTCTCCTTGTTCTCAAGTAAAAATTCCTGCAAATTTTTTGAGAAGCAGCTCACTGGTTTGTAAACAAGTTACTTTCAGCTTCAGTCACTGCCCTTTGTCTTTCAGACTGTGGTTGTTCAAGAGAAGGCTCACTTTTATTAGCATGTGACCAGCAGGGAAGGTGTGCATGCAAAGACAACTACGATGGACCAAAGTGTAGTCGTTGCGGTGTTGGATTCTACAGCTACCCAAGATGTGTCAAATGTTCTTGTGATCTTCGAGGTTCAGTTCATGAGTTTTGCGAGCCAACCACAGGACAGTGCCAGTGTAAAGGATCTTTCCGTGGTATAAACTGCAATCGCTGCCGCAGTGGGTTTTATGGATTTCCTGACTGTCAAGCCTGTCAATGCAATCCAGCAGGAATTAAACCACTTCCTGATGGACAGGCAGTAGACTGCTCCTTATCAAACGAGGCGAGTTATTTTATGTTATGAAATGGAATAACTCATTTGAAAATATGAAACAGGATCTTTTGAATAAATTGCCAGAGTTT